ATGGGCCATTTATTTCTAGTGAAGGTAAATTAAAGTATTTTTAGAATTCAAATTCTTATAAGAATAGTAATTGATATAAGAAAAAAAAAACTCATTTGGTTTATAAAAATGCCATTTTTTGGTGGTAAGTATGTTTAACACGACCTATTAGGAACTTGTTGACTTTTATTATTCTTTATTTATAAAGTAAATTTTATAAATGCTACAATCATCAAAAGGAATTATGCATTTTAAAACTTTTATACGTTTTCTTAAACTATCAAATGGTAGTCCTATTTATTCAAACGCACTTCAAGAAAGCTGAAGTTATTAACAAATGGAAACCTAAATTAAAAGTGGTAAAAAAGTTCACCAGAGACTTTAAAAAATTGGTGGTAAGTATACTTATAACGGCCTTCGAAAGGGTTAAAGTATGAGAGTAATTATCCTTATTCTACAAGTTTAACTATTTAACGCCAATTTATTATAATTTTTGAAGAAATTGGAGCACTTCTCTTTAATTCTAACAAATTAAAAAAAAAACGTAATGTTATTTTACCACCTTTTTTTTTAAATAAAAAAATTATAATTTTTCTTGTTTTTCGTCTTTAATTGGAATTGACATAGAAACTTTTCAAAAGTCAAGTAACGCTTGTCTTCATTTCGATTAAGACGGGTATGTAAATGCATTTTACTTTTTATCAATTGATTTGTTATTGTCTTAATTACCCAAAGATGCAAGCAATATAACTTCAGACATAGATAACATCAGTTAATCGAGAAATTATTAGGGCGATGTCTAACCTGCTTAACCCTTTCCAAGGCTGTGGTAAGTATACTTACCACTTTTAATTTAGGTTCCCATTTGTTAATAACTTCAGTCTTCTTGAAGTACATTTGAATAAAATTGGTAACCATTTGTTAGTTTAAGAAAACGTATAAAAGTTATAAAATACATTATTCCTTTTGAAGTTTGCAGCATTTATAAAATGTATTAATACTAGTGGGCTGCGCCCCCTGCTCGCTCGCCAACACCCGAAAATTGCTACGCAGTCTTATATGGTTTGCTTCGCAAACCAATCTCGCCTCGCTCGCTACTAGCTTAGGTACATTGCAAATGCACAAAATTCAAAACAATCATTCAAATCCATATAAAAACTTTTTTTTTTAAAAATTACATCTTTTTAGCAAATACTAAGTCATTAAAATAAATTTCAATTCAAATAAAGACTCATTGACTGAGACTCATTTTTCAATGAATAACAATAATAAAACAAATGAATTCGTGATATAAATCAAAAATCGTCAAATAAATTCGTAATATAAAAAATTCGGGAAAAAAAAAGAGCTTTCGTCAAAATACTAAAATAGAGATCTATCGACCAAGACTACTCACTTCTTCCTAGCTTAACAGTATGAGATTGCCTCAGCTGAATTGTTATTTCAGTTTCCGTTTTTAAAAGTGCTGTATGTTGAGCCACCTCAGCTAGATTTGGCATGTGACATTTTTTGCAGAAATCATTGGTCGATTTTCTAGCGTTTCCATTCGGGGAGTTGTAATGAGGCTTTTTTTTGTAGCCGTGTAAGAGAAATATATATATAGATTTAAAAATTTTTGATAAGTATACTTGCCACGGCTTTAGAAAGGGTTAAAGCTAATTAATTCTCATAAAACAGCAAGGTTATTTAGAAATGGGAATAACAGTGATAACAATAATTAAAATAATATCAACAATAATAACATAATTCTTGATGTTATTTTATTTATTATTATTGTTCATATATTAATTTAAATTACTGCTTACCCACCACAGCGCCGACGCTGCTGTTTTGGGTAATCCAGTTTATGCTACATTTTGTTGTGCTGAATCGTTATAGATATACTTCAACATTTAAATTTACAATGACTTATAGGAAAATGTACTGATAAAAAACTTAACATTCGATAGTTCAAGAATAATGAACTGTTAAATTTGTTATCAAAAATAATTAGTGGGTAGTTCCGCAGTCCAGAAAAACGTGTCTTTAATTGATTTAAACAGAAATGATATATTTTTTTTCTTTATACCCAGTTTGGCGGCACTATTATTCAACCTGCCAACTTTTAGGCATTTGGCGTAAAATTTTATTTCTATATTTGAAGTGGTAGTATTGAAGGTGTATTTGAAGTGAAGTGTATGCCTTCCTTGATATTCCTTTCATTTGTAAACTTACTTTAAATTTTTTGACCACCACTATTTTTATAAAAAATTAGAATATATATAAATATGCAATACTTCATATTTGCCAAATTTTAATCCCTTCCATTATCATTTTCCCCAGTGGTATTAAAATGGAGTTAAAACTTCAATTTTAAGCAAACAAATACGTTGTATATAAGCAAACTTAAGTTGACAACCATAATAGTAACGCATATTAATATATGTGCCTAATTTGTGTAAGAATAGTGGTGATCAAAATCATTTAAAAATTAAGTTTATAAGAGAAAAAATAGTATATATTTACTACCACTTTAAATATGAAAACAAAATCTTCCGGAAAATCCGGAAGAGTTTGCAGGTATGAATACTTTATTCCAAGACTTAAAAATGCGAAAGTCAAGCTTCTCGCCATCTTTGAAGTGACTGTCATGATATCTATTTACATTATGTTTATTTTTTAATGAATTCGTTATAAGTAAATATTTTCTTTGTTTAATACGTAAACCTTTTTCAAAACCATATATGTCTATAAAGAACAAAAGCAGACGGGTTTCGAGTCCCTTTTCATTAGCTGTTTACATGAGTGGGGAGAGACAATTGATGAAAGGTGTTTGTTGGGAGCGGAGAGGAATGGGGTTGCTTACAGGGTAAGGACGGAGGGACCCTCTGTTAGGAGGTGGGTTGTTTTCCTAGCAATACTTCCCCACCTCGAAGGAGGTAACCGTTGCCTCCGGAACAGGTTTACATGGGGGCCTGTGAGAGATGGATGCTCCCGAGGAGAGGAAATGACTAAAAAGATGATACTCGACTAGATTATGCTAACCTCTTTTTCGATAGTAAGCCGCCAACGCCTTCCTCCCTCACCTAAAGCCATTAGTCTCAGTTACCCAAGGGCCAGTAACCAGATGAAGAAGTGAGGTGCCCGCATCCTCAAATGAGCTCAAATTCAATTTTAAAAATAATTTAGAGAAATTTAACATATATACTTGAGAATTGAATCTGTCGTGGTTGACAAGTAAATAAAACAAACCAATTATATTCGTAAATTAACCCTTTCGCGCCGACTGTCACAAATACGTGCCAGCATGAAACCGTATCAATCAGGGTAAAAATATAAAACTGGTAATCAAAATAGTTCTTTAGCAGTTTATTTGTGGGCGGAGTTATAATTGTTTGATTTATTTAATTCACCATTACTTTAGTTCAAAATAAAATTATTTAGTTATACTTTGAACTAACATTGATTATATATATGATTAAACTAACAATAATTAAAGTAAAAGCAAAGTAAGTCTGTCAAATAATTAGCAACGACTACATTTAAGTTACCGTTTTTTATTTAATTACATCCTGATTCGGATTTTATACGAATGCTTTTATGAATCACCCATCCCCAAGGGGTTAAATTATAAGAAAAATTCCATTTTACTACCAAAGAGGAAAATCATTCACCAAAGGATTTAAAGTTTGCTTGTATGCAAATGTGACAAACCATTTTAAAAAACTAATTGCTTTTGAGTGTTTAGTTTCTGCTATTCCTTGAACATCAAAAAAGCTAAAGTTTATCACTTCAATAAGGTCACACTTGCTAATTTCCTGCCCGACAAAAATTTTAATTCAGAATTTGATGATCCAGAAAGGGTTTTATAAGACAATGGTAAGTCTACCGATTCATTTATTCGCTTTCTTTTCCCCTTATTATTCGTTTTTACACTCGCTATATCAAGAATCACTCACAGCAACAATTTCTATAACAAAAATACTATAAGTACGCTTTAACCCCTTAACTCACAGACTTTTTTAAAAACAACCGGCCCGAAAAAATCACTTTTTTTATGTAAAAAACATACTTTAGATCAGGGCTGTCCAACTGGCGGGCCGCATGTGACCCGCCAACACATATTGTGCGGCCCGCCAACTTTTTATTCAGGCTGATCGGCCTCAGTTTTCTCATTGAAAAGTAAGCAAATTGCTTTATAATCCTTCTGTTCCATTGTTTTATAATTAATAATTCAACTATTAATTGCTATTGTGTAAGAGGTAAGAGGGTATTGTTCAACTTTTTCAAACTGCGGCCCGCCAGGTGATCAGTGACCGGAATTCTGGCCCGTGGGCTCCTTGCAGTTGGACAGCCCTGCTTTAGATCATTGTCTTTTCATTTGGTGGACAATTTTGATATACTGCGCTTTTGTTCCATGGAAAAAGGCTATATTATTCTTGAATAAATAAGTGTTATAGCTTACAATCCTATGTAAATGATAAATATCAATAAAACGATTTTTTTTTGTTCTTAGCTTTCACATTGTTATTTTCATTTCTTGATTATATTCGAGTGTGAAAAATTATAGCAGCATAAGATACAACTCCGCTCGAATTAGCTTGAGTGTGCACAGTTTGGTCTGTTTAGCGCGCTCGAATTAACTTGAACGCACAAGTTAAGGGGTTAAAGTCTAAAAAGCACGAGTAATTTTAAAACGTTGTAAATTAAAAAAATTATTAATTCCCTTACATAAGACACTAGCGAAAAATAATAACGAACTGTCGTCATAGCTAAATATTAAATAACTCGTGCTGATTAATGACACTTGTTTACAGAGATGCCAATTTGCTCCAGACAGCAAATATATATTTTCAAGTGGTAGTTTATCAATTGTGATTCTTGTTTTAATAAATTCAATTTAGTAGATTTTTAACCACCACTATTTCTAAATAATTCGCAGGCTTATTCATGTCATGTAGAGCCCCTGAATTAGACAGATGACTTCGTCTTGACAGGTGCCGGTGACAGTGAATGAGGGATGTGATGCCTAGAAAAGATTGAGAGATCCTTGACGATTCCGGACAGCCCATTTGATGTTCCTGACGAGGAAAAAATTTTGATGTTTTGAGTTATTGATGTTTAATCCTTTTGGTGAGTAGTTCTTAATAATTCTCTCGAAATTATGTCTGGACGTGGCGAAGTTTGAAGCTCGTAGTTTAAAGTAAAGTACAAAATTAAGTTTATTCAATTCAATTTTTAAAGTACTGCAAAATGAGTCTTCGACGTTGCGGACGTGGTGGAAAGACAAGCACGCCTACCGGGCGTCAAAACCTCAGTGACTCTACGACGGATGAGGAATCCACAGAATTCGACAACAAAATCAAATCACGCAATATGGCCACATATCAAAATCATCCACGTGGCGGAAAATGGCAAACCGAAAAGACTTCACGAGAACCAACGGTAAATGTGGAAAGCATGAGTCCAGGTGAACGAAAGTTATATGAAGAATGGATGGAAATGATAAGGATGACCAACGAAGAAATTGAAACAACAGCGAAAGAGCTCCAGGATTGCTCGCAACTCAAAACTCAACTTATGGAAACTCAAGATGCAGGCCAAAATTTAGAACAGAAAAGCGAAATGACAACCGATACAGAAAATACAGCTAAAAATAATGCAGAGCCTCCTACAAAAAAGCGAAAAAGGAAGAAGAAAAAGCAAAACAAAGCCAAAAATATTGAGGATACACAAATCATGATTACAGAAAGCACCTCTTCTTCACCAATAGATGCCGCCACCTCCTTGCTACTATCTGAAACAATAGTCAACTCCGACATAGCTCCACCCATGGAAGTTCCCAATGAAGAAACAGACACACCCATAACCTCTGCACAAGCACATCCAACCATACATATTAAAGTATTACTCCGTGGACTATCAACAGAATACAAAACAGATGAGATCTCCCATCAACTGGCAAAAACAGGCATTACAACTCATAAAGTCATACAGTTTAAGAGAAAAGTGGGCGAGGCCTATAGGCTCCTCCCACTTTTTCTCATAATTCTTAAAAATACAGTGCAAAATCATCAAATTAACTCCATCACCACTATTCAAAGTATTCCAGTCAGAATAGAGAGATTTAGGGGGGGTCGTGGACCAATTCAATGTTTTAATTGTCAAGCATTCCACCACACTCAAAGATCATGCAACGCTGCCTCAAGATGTGTGAAATGCGCTGGCAATCATCGCTCCCACGAATGCAGAAAGGACAGACACACTCCACCAAAATGTTGCAACTGTAGTGAATCCCACACCGCAAACTACACTGGGTGCATAGCCCGTCCCACTAGGAAGGGCTCTCGCCCGATTTCCACAACAACAGCCGGTATGGCTCGCAGACTTGTCATAATAATAAAAGAACTGCAAGAACTCATAAAGAATGAAGAGGTACTCCAATTACTGCAAAGAATCATTAGAGATAATGCTCCATAATGTCATAGTCATGCCCAATTCCGGACTATTCATTCGGAACTCTTGCATTAGTGTAATATGTAGATTATCAAACTCTTCTTCAATGAAAAAAGTAAAACAGCTCAATTAAATTGCAAACTGTGTCCGATAGATGGCGACACCAATATTAAACAAAACTTCTGTAAATTTATCATATATCATGTTATATTTGTTTTACAACTTAAAATTACACAATTCTAACTTTATTCAATGCTAAATTGTCAATCGCATTTGCATATATTCTAATTTTACTCATAATTTATCACAACTTATGAATGCATCAAATTTAAATTCCATTCAATGCTAAAATATCAATTGTAATTGTTTACACATTAATTTAATTCATATTTTAATCACAACCTATGATTGCATCAAATTTAATACCAATCAATGCTTAAATATCAATTGTGCTTTTTATATTCACGAAAATTTCTGATTATTGCATAAATCATGACTTATATTAAATATCAAATCATGTTTAATTTATCAAGCAAATATGCTTGATCTTCAGTAATGCTACCTAAATGTTGCATAATTCAAAATGTTTTTTAATTCAACTTGTAAATACTTCATGATGAATGGGTTAGGGGCCGCTGCGCGGCCCAGGCACCCAATTTTAGTTAAATAAAGAGAGAGAGAGAGAGAATTAGACAGGCCGACTTATCATTTATTGTTGGAGCAAAGAGCTAACATAAGCACGGCGAATAAATTTTTTCAAGTGGTAGTTTATTAATTGTAATTCTTGGTTTCATAAGTTCGATTTAGTAGATTTTAATCCATCACTATTTCTCAACAATGCGTAGGCTTATATAATTCACCATTTTATGGTACTAATTACATGCTTTACATTTTTAAAAGCAAGCAAATATTGTCAACTATTTGAAAAATTTACTTTGTAGTTATATACCGTTTTTTAAATTATTTTAGCGTGTCCGTAGCAGTTGCCATCTCTGCAATAACGTAACGAATACTAAAATAACGTTAACTTGCGAACTTGTTTGCTCCAATATTGCTTGATAGGTCAGCTCTGATAGTATAGGAGCCTTAATGTCATGCTATACCTTTTAACCGGTTAACGCGCAGCGTCATATATTTAGGATAGTTCCTTTTCTCAAAAACATTCATTGTGGTGGGAAACTATTTTCAGCATTTTCATTTATCTGGGTGAATTAAAAGATTCTCAGATACCACAATGATTTATTTATTTCTGATTAGATCTAGAATTATAAGAAGCAAGTACTTTCTGATCTATCAAAGACTTTTTGAGTGCCCTAACAGTAGAAAAAACAATTTCGAAAATATATTATACCACTTTTTCCATAAAACCACTTTTTGTATGAATTCAATATATAAATTCGGGACAAAACGGGTTAAAAAGCAAGCAAAAATAGTCAAATATTTGCAAAATTTACTTTGTCGGTATTTACCGTTTTTTTAAAAATTATTTTGGCGTGTCCGGAGCAGTTGGCATCCCTGCTTGTTATCAAATGACGTTTGTGAAAATTCGTTCTTTACCACATTCTCAAAAGTTTCAGGTTTGTAATAAATAAAAAATTCAGCGTTACTGATCAGGGCTAAAAGCCAATATATAGCAAGACGGAAAAGAACAAAAACTGGTACAAAAGACATTTCATTCTTGCATTTTTTTTCGAGAAACATTAAATTTCTGTAACTACCGAAATTTTTTTAAAATTTTAGCATATATATAAAACATCTTCTTTCTTTATAGAAAAGTAAATAAAACTGATTAATTAAAACAGAGAATAGTTTAACTCCTCCCTAAAACATGTTAAAAGTGAAATGGGCTTTCTACCAGCTTTTCCCCTTTTCCGTCTCGCTTTCACCCATGTTCCTGATATGATGTATACAGTGCGTAAAAAAATAAACGAACTACCCTTAATAACTTCTGATCCAAAGATCAGATCTTCACGTTCGAGGACTCAATCTTAATGGTAATCTAAACTGACTTCAAATATGCTAATTAATTACTGCAGATGATATTTTAAGTTACGAAATCAGACACAAAAACGTACTATCCCTGTATAAACATATATTTTTCCTTCCCTTACGTGTTCGGATTTCTGAACCCCAAAATATAGTGGGTAGCAACAATCTGAGAAATGTGGTCCTCAGGAGAGCGATCAAATGTTGTTCATTTTATCTTTTGCGAATTTCGCCACATATCGAGAACTCCTTAAGAGAATTTAAAAATTCTTGCAAACAATTATAAAATTTGTTTATCCAAGGATAATTCCATGCAAAAAATAAATTTTAGTAAATATTTATTCTTTTTTATTTTATTTAATAGTAGTCGAAAACATTTTGAACTGTAACGAACATAATATTTTTACATTATTTTAAAGAATATAACTTTGCATGACAAAATACAAAATTTTAGCGTAATCACTCGGATTTTTCTTGAGAAATCGAATTTTAAGTATACGAATTTTTTAAAATTCGAGTTTTCAAGAACTAACCTACCGATTAAGCTCAAATTTTATAATTTGTCATGGAAAATAATTTATAAAAATGATGAATAAATTAGAAGATCATTAGATCAAAAGTTATTCTGGATAATTCGTTTTTTCTTCTTCTTCTTCCTTTTCTTTTTTTTTTAAATTTTTTTTTAACGCATTGAAGCATTGTACTCTTATCGATAAAGCTGCCAATTTACCGGTTTAGATTTTTGTAACAGTAGTAATACATTATTTTTAATAGTCTTAGGTGCACCCTCTGCAACAATTGTAAATGCGCCCTACCTTAGACACTTTTTTTTTAAAAATTTTAATATGAGACAGGAACATAGAAGAAACAATCGGAAATTCTTAATTATTAATTTTATTATGATTTACATAAATTTATGCATTTTAATTTCTTTATATTAATTAATAAGGAATTAAATTGAGATGAAAAGGCGAAATATAAAAATCTTTTTAGTGAAGTTCACATAGTAGGGTGCACAACATTTTTGTAAGAAAGGATACGTTCCCAAGCATCTAGATATGTTGACGGCCTTTTTTNTTTTTTTTTTTTTTTTTTTTTTTTTTTTTTTTTTTTTTTTTTTTTGCGGAAATTTTTTATTTTTCATTTTATTTTAATTTATATTAATTTATATATTTCAATGCAACTAAAAACTGTGCCTAAAACACTGACGTAATCGTCAGTGCTTTAGGCGCAGTTCTTTTTATCAGTCATCTTAGTACTACTATATGTGCATAAAATTAAATTTCTTTAAATAATTATAATTCTTTTATATTTATTTAAATTTTTTTCTTCTTTTTTTATCACTCAACTAAGTAATATATTGCATAAAATTAAATTCTATTAAGCATTAAATTCATTCAAAACTAAAGAATACCAAAATTATACCTTTCAAAAAAAAAAATCCTTTTTATCCAAAAAATTAATAAATCGAAAAAAGATAAACGTGATCTGGAAGAGATGTTTTTTTTTAATTTTTTTTATCACATCACGTAATGCAAAAATTATACTTCAAAATAAACTGTAATATTCTTGAATGAAAGTAAAGAATAAATAAAGATTTTATTGAGCAACGTAAATGCAAATTAAATATTTTAATTTAAAAAAAAATTGTAGGTAAAAATTTTAATTTTAAAATAAAACAAGCGCATTATAGCTCAAAATTAACTGCAACATTAAGCTTAGTATATTTTCAACATCAGGGCATTTATATTTAGTGAATTATAAGAGATTTTACGAATGGTGAATTTTAAAACAGTTTTTTAAGTACTGTTTTAAACTACCAAAAATTAGAAATAAAGCTCAAAAACAGTAAAGAGTCTAAAACTCACATTCGAATTTCGCGTTTTGTGATAATATTGTATAAAAAAAATTGAGATGTTCTTTTTTAAAAAAAAGAGAAATAAGTAGAAGGAAAAAAAACATAGATTGATGAGTAAATCGGTACAAATAAAGTACGTCGAAAGTAATGATTAGTAATGATTCGAAAATCGCAAGTCGTTATAATACTAGAAAATTAATCAGGATTTTCGAAACCCTTTGGGAAAGCCTAGCAACAACTGTTGAAAGAGCTATAAAAAAAATCTTATGTCTACGTTGAAATCTTCACAAATAAAGCACGTCAAAAGCAATTGGTGCATGCAAGTCACAATTCTTAAAATATCGTTAAAAAGATCGGGATTTTAAGAAACACGTGGAAATCCGACAATAACCTCCGACGAAAAGTCACCAGTCTCAAATAGAGAACTTCAAAAGTCATAGCTAAAATTCTAAATTTGCGCATCATAATTTTGTCATATTAAAAATTTCAAGGTTTTTAAAACTTTGGAAATAAATAATGATAATAACCGAAAAAGACGACCGAAAAACTACATTGATTTAGATTTGGGGCAAAAAAAATCAAATGCTAAATCTAAAATTTCCTTTTTTTCCTTTAAAAAAATTAAAAGTCCTATTATAAAATGTATTATTTCTGGATCGTTCTCCCTCCCCCCACACGCAACAGGGGTTGAAGAGAATCAGATGTTAAAACTTATGTTTTACCTCCACTTTAAATATAAAAATATAATTTTTTTGAAATTTTTAGTTAATTTTCCGCTGTGTTAAGGGTTAGTCAATCCATGTTATCTCACTTGTGGTTTATGAATCGTTTAGAAATATGAAGTAGTATTTGTATTAAAATCATTTCATATTTTACNAAAAAATCTTATGTCTACGTTGAAATCTTCACAAATAAAGCACGTCAAAAGCAATTGGTGCATGCAAGTCACAATTCTTAAAATATCGTTAAAAAGATCGGGATTTTAAGAAACACGTGGAAATCCGACAATAACCTCCGACGAAAAGTCACCAGTCTCAAATAGAGAACTTCAAAAGTCATAGCTAAAATTCTAAATTTGCGCATCATAATTTTGTCATATTAAAAATTTCAAGGTTTTTAAAACTTTGGAAATAAATAATGATAATAACCGAAAAAGACGACCGAAAAACTACATTGATTTAGATTTGGGGCAAAAAAAATCAAATGCTAAATCTAAAATTTCCTTTTTTTACCTTTAAAAAAAATTTAAATTCCTATTATAGATTGTATTATTTCTGGATCGTCCCCCCCAAACACACACAAGGGGTTGAAGAGAATCAGATGTTAAAGCATATATTTTCCCACCACTTTAAATATAAAAACGAATTCTTTTTTAAATTTTTAAGGGCTTGACGATCTATGTTCTCAAACTTGTAGCTTAGAAATATTTGTATTAAAATCATTTCACTTTTTACCATTTTTTCGACAAAAGTAATCTATCCGTAACTCCGTACTTATCAATAGTTACAAA